ATAAAACGAAAGATTGTACGATCATAAGTCGATTCAATCCGAGTTGACTACTCGAATTTCTCTTTGCAAGAATTTTTTCTTCTTTGTTTTACTTTTGTATTGCCATATTCGCCCATCTTTTTTCTTATTCGTTTCGTAACATTGAATCGAATCCAATCCACTCGACTCGTTTCGTATTTTCCTTCCAATAATTGCGATCTTAATAATTTCGAATCTTCTTCTTCTTCTTCTTCTTTCTAATAAATTCTTAAAATTCGATCCGTGTCGAAAAGTGTCGCGTCGAAAGTTGGTGGAAATTTCGAGCGTGCGACGGGAAGTGGTCGCGTATACTTTGACACTTATCGATCTAAAAATACACTTATCTGCAATGTAAGCCTCCCTTCCCCCCCTCTTTAAGGGAAAAAAATGGCTATGGCCGTATACGATGGCCCCCGATGATCGATAATAGAAAAGTTCGTAGGGAAAGAAAAATTACGAAAGATTACAAAAAAGTTACGTGAAGTGCAACGCAAATTTTATAACGAACGATCGTTTTTATAAAAAGTTTTCGAAAGAAGGAGAGAACTCGACGAACTCGTCTTGGATTTGTTCTATCTCCTTCACCCTCCCACCCTCCTCCCCCTCCGTCTCGATTAACTCGATAAATATGGAAAGTTGCACAATGCTCGAGCGAACGAATGAGGAAAATGGAGTTCGTTAAATTTCATCGAAATCGATTAACAAAATCGGTCCATCGCTCGTTCGAGAAGCAAACTGGAAACTGTTTAACATTTCGTGAATGGAGAATTGTTTCGACTTGTCGTCGATCCATTCGCGCGCTTAATTCGGACACTCGGTGCTTCCAAGCTTTCGAGCCGGTGTACAGCAATGAATCATTTCATCTGCACTCCAGCAACATAAATAAATTCGTTTAATTTGAATCGACAAGACAAGTTGATCTTTTAAGTAGAGAGAGGCAATGAGCTTTTCCGTTTATCGTTTTATCGACGGATAATTTAACGCGTCAAACGATAAGAAAAGTTAGAAAAATTTAGAAAATTATATATATATAATTTTATTATTAAATAATAATAAATAATTAATAAATAATAATAATAATAAAATAATAAATAATGTTAAATATATATATAGGATAGAAAGGAATAAAGGAAAATAATATATATTATATGTATATACATCTCTTTCAACAAGGACCACCTCCCTATTCTTCTTCGTTAAGGAGTTAATAAGGTTTACGTCTCTCCCTTACGTCCCTCTGATGTATGATACGGATAAAAAGTAATCGTTTCGTTCGTGATTAAATCAACCGAGGACGAATTTCATTTCGTTCCGTTCTTTTTTATCGACCGATTAAATTTTTCAGTTGAACAACCACGCCCCCCTCCCCCCATGCGCGAGTTTGATTCAACGTTTTAATTTAAGGGAGGATATCATGGAACCACTTCTTCGAATCTTTCGAACGCGACACGAAAGAGCGAGTTAAGACACTTGCCCGATATTTCGAGCGTTAAAGTCTCTGAAAGGATGTCGCATCGAGGGATTGGCCTCTCGAATAATTCTTTCGACGAATGTCCAGAGAGATTTTTCCGTTTCGTGTTTCGATCGTGAACGTATCGATTTAATTTGTCTCGATGCGGGAAAAAAGGGCGAATGAATTAATGGGGATCGAGATAATAATAAGGGAGAGAAAGGAGAAGTTCATCTTTTGGTCATCGGCGGAATTGATGACGCGATAACTTTTATGTCTCTATGGTTATAATAAAAACCGCGCCATAGATATGAGTTTAATCATCGTTAAATCGATACACTTTGGCGACACGGTGATTATTTGCGGAACGAGAAAAAGATGGTTTTGTGTCAAGATTATTAAATGAAACACTCTCTCTTACCAAATATATAGGCCGAGCAATTGTTTGCCAATTGGCACGGGTGTACAAGGTGACTGATAAATTTTCGAAAGATTTCAAATGCCTTGAAACGTTAATGGATTATTCGGAATACCTTCGAACAATAAATTTCCTCACCCACGCACCTCTCTCTTTTCACCCGCGTATTTACGTGAAGAAGCATTTGCTTCCGCCCTGTAACTCTGTACATTTCGTGTCCCCTTCTTCTTGCGTGGAAAAATGTTCAAACTTTTTCCTTTCTGCTTCTCTTTGTCCAAAGATTGGACTACAATTGGAGGAAAAAAGTGTGGATCGATGCGCATGCGTGCTACGTCGGTAATCAAGTTTCAAGTAAATCGAGAGCAACAGGCGTGTCTCGAGAATTGCAGTTCTCAGTTGGAAGAGATCGTCGTTCGATCAACGTTCGATCGATTCGTTGAAAATCGTTTGTTGAAAGAATCGTAAATCGAATAAATTTTTCAAGAAAGTAACATGGACGTTACTTTTACGAGGCCTTTACAAGGAAAACAAAGTTGCATCGAGTGTACGAAATGCTGTTTTCGTTTTTCTAACGCGAGCAAATTGGACAGGCGAATTTCCACTCGGATCCAGTACGTATTTTTCTTATTCTTATTCTGCTTCGACGAAATATCGGGTGTTTTTGATCTAACGTAAGGTAAACGTTTTGTGAAACGAGATAGATATATCGAAAATACGTGTAATTTCGTAAAGTGACTTTATCCTTCTTTGTTTTTTCTCTTTTTATCTTGCAACGAGAACCAATACGATACTTTCGCTCGAATGAATGCACGCTCTTCCATTATATCTATTTAGAACGGATGGCAAATTCATTCCGATCGCGTATGCACGCATATATGGTCGCGTTTACGCAAAATCATGCCAACTCTCTCCTACTCGAAATGAATCGATTAATTTGCACGCGTCTTTGTCATATCGGCGGCATCGAACGGCATTGCCTTCCGATATTGCTCGCCTACTAAAATTAAATTACCTAATAAAATAAAAAGAAATTGATTTCGAATTATCGCGCGGATACTCCTCTACGAGATTGAGACGACCATCCTCGGTGATCGAATAATTATTATCCCTCTTCGTTTTATATTTCACCGTTCCGTTTTGTTTGTAAGTAAACAAACAATTATTTTAGAATAATGGGAGAGAGTTTAAAAGTTGTTGAAAATGTCATTGGGAAATTTGTTAGGGGAACGGAAAGGATAAAAAAATCTCTTGGGAATCGAACGGAACGAGATCGACGATGTGTAAAGTTTTTCTCGAAAAAATGATCGAATGATTATCGGCCTTCGTTTTATATTTCGTTCGTTCGTAAACGAGCTTATCGTTTAAAAATAATAATAAAAATAAAAATAAATAAAATAAAAATAGTAGAAAAGATTTTAAAAATATTATTTATTAGAAGAAGGATAAATAACTTCGAAGTATATCAACAGTATAATATTTTTTCGAAAAATTATCGAATAATTATCGGCTATTGATCGATTAAAATTTTTTAAAGTTCTATAAAAAAAATTTTAAAAATATTATTGAAAAATTTGCTAGGGGAGGGATAAAGATCTTGGAAGAATCGATCATCGACAATATCATAAGATTTTTTTGGAAATAATTGAGAGAGGAACGTGGAAGAAGAAACGATCGCGTTCTGGATTCCGGCGGATGTGTTCGACGTGTCGTCGATCCGGAATTCAATTATCGATAAACGGCAAAGTTTCAACGTTCCCGTATTTGTGATGATTAAATTAGCGATAAGGGATGCTGGGAATGATAACATAATCGAGAGATACGTTTACAATGCTCTCCTGGTTAAGGACAAAGGTTTTCTGCGTTCGATAGGTTAGGTGCAAGTTTTAAAAGCGGCGTCGCGTTTAGAAGCATCGATTTTAATTAAACTTTCCAACCGGCGATCGAATTGAGCAACCCGTTTTCCGATATCCTAAAAAACGTTGTTGGAAAACCAACGTTCGGTCTTTTGTAACCGATGGTTATTAACCGATCCCTTTGTCCTTTAATATCCTCTCCTTCCCTCTCAGGGATCTTTGTATACCGTTTTATAGTAGAATCTCTATATTTCTTTGATAATCTTTAATGATCGAACACCCTAAGCTTTCCTGTAGGTAATCCGGAGACAATTTGTACCGATCGAGTAAAAAGTGCAAAATGAATTTTTTTATCCGTAAGAAAAATATTTTTCTTCGCCAATCTTTCCACAAAATTGTCCGAGTTAAATAAAGGGTTTTGTTGCGCGATACAAATTATTTTGCTGCTTTGTTTTCTCTTTTAAGACTATAAAAAAAAAAAAAAAAAAGAAAAAAAGAAAGAAAGAAAACGTTAAAATATTTAAAGCTACATCGATATAAGCGAAACTCGATTGAAATGCAATCATTTCATTTCTAACCGTGTTCAGCAATGAAATTTCCGAACATCGATACGTTCCAATTAAAAGGAATTACATATTTAAGAGACAGGAAAATTTCAGCAAAGTTGGTTTCATTGACGAAAGCGTGAATATCTTGGAGATTTTATTTTAAATTCAGATTTGATTAAATCTGAATTACTCCTCTTAATACGATATATGGGATTAGAATTTTTCATTTTTCTCTCAGATTGTAAATTTTTATCCAATTTTCATTAATATGGATTTTTTTTCAAAGGGGAAAAAGAAATGTCAAATCCTCGTATATTTCTTGTTTCCTAATACCTGTCGACGGTGATGTTTCTTTTTTTTTTTAATTACTTTCAAGTGTCCGTAGGCTTCGTTGTCAATTGACGAAGATTTTTAATTACTCTCTACTTGCGAGATTGCCATTGGCGACGTTTTCGTTCTTGTTCATTCCCGTCGCCTGTCTCCGAACCAACTTCAAAACTTGCACTAAAATATCCCCTGCGATTCGTTCTCGAGCCACCACTTTCTTTTTCTTTTAAGAAAACAGCGATAAAATTGTCCGTCTTTCAATGACGATGTTACTATCGTCGCCAACTCGTTTACGAACAATTGAAAACAAGGTTAGAGTATTTCTATTTCTTCGAGACGAGAGAGAGAGAGAGAGAGAACAATTGGCTAAAAATAATCCGATACGTGTAATCTCTTGTGCGCTTTCTACTTAGGCTACCTGCTTAGATTTTTATGAAACGGCCCGAGAAAAATATAAATCGGTTGAGGACCCTTTGGGAAATCGTTCGAGATTGTTTAGGAAAAGATAGGAAAAAGAATGCCCTGTTAGCATGTTTACTTCGGTTGATGTGGGCCCGAGTCGGTTTACTTTTTTTATTTGTCGAGGAAAATTAAACTGGTCGCCGATTTATTTCGTTGCAAGAAATTGAACATCTTTCGGCCAAACTAAAAAACATTTGTTTGATCGTATTTATAAAAAAAAATTTAATTGTCAACTTTAACAATGCCGTTCGAAAAAAAAATTGATAACACGATTGATAAGATAAGCAAATTAATTTAAAAGGTGTAAGACAATTTGATGAAAGCAATAATCAAGTTAGATTAACGAAGATCGAATTGTCAACTTTCGAAGAGTTTCAAGCAATAATGAAATAATCGAGTGGAAATGGCTCGTTGGATTCGTTTAAATGTATACTCGCCTTGTTATTTTCTTATTAAACTTGAGAAAACTATGAGACACAATGTAATTAATTTGCTCTCGTTATGAAAAAAAAAATGTAAAATCGGATTAATTTTATAAACGGGGATAAAGAAAAATTCATTTCTGCTGATTTAAACAAAATTGTTTTAAATGGATTACAATCCTTTTTTTTTCCAGCTAATTCGATCAAAGCAAATTCGTGAGCTTAAGAAGCGTCGGTCGGAATGGAATATACAAAGAAAAGGTTTGTCAAGTTCGTTTTCCGTCGGAAAAAAATGATTTATTATTACTCGACGTCACAGATGGTTAAATGAAAATAACACAGGAGGATATGATATTTCTTCAAAATTCAAAGAAAGGGAATAATAATAACGATTAAAAGACGAGAATTTTCTAGATTTCCATTGTTAGACTTGATTCCAGAGAAACGTGGGAAAAACGCGAAAGAAAATCGAGAGAATATTCAATGTTAAAACTCGGCGGCAATTATTCTCCGGTTTAATTAATTTTAATTGGCTTAAATATTAAATATCGGAGATAAGGGGTGCGATAACTCGATGGAAAGGAGCAAGATAACAACAGAATTACCTTGCGGTTATATATTACGGTCTACGCCGCTTGATACTACCATTCAATTAATTATCGCGCGTAAATCCTTTGCACGTGTAATTACCATACCGTGAGTCATACTTTTGTTCATCTCTGATCGAAGAAAAATTTCTTTTTCAGGTGGTGGTGCCAAAGAGGGCAGCCCTTTTGTTCGATCGATTAATGGTCGCGTTGCAAAAGGTTGTGGACAATCAAAACAAAGGAGAGCTGGATGGCAGTAGACCGTTTGTAAGATCGCCCCATCTATCGATTGAGAATTCGCAAATTATTCCTTCTACGGACGAGCAAACGATGAAGGTTAGTTTACCCATTTACTTGGTGCAAAGTTATATACACGAAATTTGACCAATTTCTTTTTTTCTGTACAGATGGATCTTCAGCGACGAGGTCAAGCGAAAGGGCGTGTTTATTGGCGTTGTTATTTCAATGCTGTGACGTGCTTCAAGAGAAAGTGATAATAAGCCAACGTAACCAGCCTTCGAAACCCGACTATTCGCATGCTTTCCCCGGTTGAAAGAGAAACAAATAAATCACAAATTCAGAACAAAACTAGATCTTAAATCCAACGATGAATCTATCATTTATTTTGAATCGAATTATTTTCTCGCTTTCGAATCACTTCTCATCTATCTTCTTGATGACTATTTAAGTTCTTGCGTATCACTATTAATATGGTGCGGTTGTATTAAACAGTGTTAACTAATATATCTGTCTGGTTTATAAAACGATCGTTATACAAAATTAAATATTAAGACGAATCGAATTAGTCGAAACGTTATCTATTCGATTGGTTTAAAATTCAAGTTTTCCCTTATTCGTGTACAATTTATGCCCTATGACAATTCTATCGTTTTATGACAAAACAAGAATTACTTTTGTACAGAAGGTAAGTTAATCTACGTTTGTAACGATGCGATATTTTTATTCAAATAATTTATTGAAAAATATACGTTACAAGGCTAAATTGTACGTGTACCACTATTAAGTGGAATCGCGTGCTTTCGTGGCTATGGATAACCTTTCTAAGCATAGTATTAATTCACAATGTTTGGTATATGGAAACATGTCTACGGCAACAGCTTTCACAGGAACCATTGGTTCTCCGACGTATTGTTTCGAGATAGGCCTAGCTAAATCTACTAAATTTCTCATAGCTGCCCGAGGATCGCAAGATATATATATTAATCTTGATAATTTTTTTGCTTTGCGCATAGTTAGTAGCGCTCTTTGATCTGGAATAAATAATTGTGTTTTTAAAACAAAATCAGCTAACTTAAGAAAAATTATATTAATCTTACGAAGTCCAGCTCGTGGAGGATCCACAATAGCGATAATGTCGGGTTTAGTCGTCCTTCGAATAACGGGAGATAAAATATCTTCTGCTTTGCCTACGAAGAATTCGCAATTCGATACCTTGTTCGCGATAACATTTTCCTTTGCGTCTTTGATGGCATCCTCTATCATTTCTAATCCAAATACTTCACCACAATACTGAAATTGTACTTGCATTTATTTCTTCTCTTGAAAATTTTATCAGTATTTAATGAATATTTGATACCTTTGAAAATGCAAGACCAATGGTCCCAGTGCCGCAACAAATGTCGAGTAACGCAGTGTCCATGTTTGGTTTTGCCAAATCAATCGCTGCTTTGTACAATACTTGAGCACCCAATGTATTTACTTGAAAGAATGCTTGAGGAGATATTCGAAATTTCATATCTAATAATTTTTCTTCTATGTATTTTGTTCCGCTAATATGATGAAAATTTTCTTCATCTTTTCCGTCGATACTTCTAAAAAAAGATAAAAAGCGATTTAACCCCAAATTGTCGTAATTGCGTAACACTCAATCTATAATCTTACTTTATTTTCATTATTTGAAGATATAACGATGTTACTCGTGCTTGTACACCTTTTCCAATTTCAAAAAAAGTTTTGAGTTGTAGTTTCAATTCATCTAATTTTTGAGAGGTCAAATCTTGAGGATGTATCCCCACTATTACCATAAGATGATCAGAAAGAGTAGTTCTAACTGTAACTTGTCTCCAGTATCCACTATAATCAACTGGATCAAAAGGTGTTAATTCAGTGCTTTTCATGAATTCTTCAAGTACCTAAAATACTCCTAATACAAACAACAAATCTGAGATAGTAAAAAGGAAAGGATCATTCTCAAGAACTTACTTTAACTACAACTTTCATTTTACTAGGAATATGACAAAGATTGTCGATAGGTCCCACTGCTGTGGAACCAGATGCATAAGTAGATAATCTAAATCCTATTACAATTTTGTCTTCTTTGTCACTTTTACCTAAATCAAATCAATATTTATTTGATAATAATTCATCAATATGTTTAATTTATCATAATTTATCTGTAAGATAAGTAAAATTTGAATGAAATTACCAACTGTAAATTCACATTTATTTCTATATTCCTTAATTGTATCTATACTTAAAATAGGAAGCAATTCACAAGGTAAGCCTTGATATTTATTTTTTTGACTATTCAACCAATCCAAAAGATCACCTTTACTTTCTTTCAACATTTGTTTACATATAATTGTCAAAATTGAACTCATTTCCTTTTGTTTTAGTTCCAACTAAAAGCATATTATCAAACTCTTACATACATTTCAATCCTATATTATTAATAATAATTATTATTAATAATAAAGTCTTACTTGACTTGGATAAGGCATGTTCCAAAGAGGAATGGTAGTTAATTTAACTTTATCTTCTATGGATACGCTTTGATCATCCTCTTCTACCTTCAAACGTTTCTTTGCATTTTCCTCTTCTAATTTTCTTTTTATAAATGGATCTGGTGCAGGTTTCGCGATCTATTTTTAATAGATGCAATCATTTTACATGAATGATTTAGTAAAAATTATTATATTTTTTGTATTCTATTCAATGAATTTCGAGTATATTGATATGTAATAAATGTTCGAATATTAATTATGAAGAAGAAAATGCGAAATAACATAAATTGATATACCTGAGCACTAAGCTTGTAATTTTTCCATAAAATTCCATTTAATGTTTCTATTGCTTTCTGACGACTTTCTTCGTTTCTAAAAGATACATAAAGCCATCCACTGCTTCGTTTTGGTGGCTTTATTTTGCACGATTGCAAGTCTAGCTTTTCATTTAAGAGTTTTTTAAATTCGCCAATTCCATAATATTTTGGTAATCCGTGTACTTCGATTTTATATTTTTCTGACGTAAAATCAGCTCTTTCAAGATAAGCGTAAGGATTCTTTTCTATTTCTGTAGATTCGTTAGAGGCCATTCTTTTTAGATTTTTTAAAATATTCAATCTAACCACTTATTTTCTTTACTTCAACATTCATATGCTCTTATATTAGGTTATATTAGGTTAAGTTAGATTAAAGTAGTTTGATCGCTATCAATGTAAACAATGTGTATTTGTATAAAGATTTGAAAGAAATTTATGTAAGATAAAATATCATAAATTTAAATAAATAAATATTTCAAATTAAAGTTATAAAGAAATGAATAGAAAATTGATTATATTTTCGTGTTATATTTTATAATGTAAAAGTAATTTTCAAATTGTCAATATATTGTCAATTTTACTTATAAAAATTTTATTATTACTTAAATCATATTTTTTTAAAGTTGTAAAATTTAAATTATAAAACTTATTTAATGATATTTTTTTCTTTTTTTCTCTTTTGCCTTATTCAATCAGAATGAGTCAAGAAGCTAAAAGTTGTTATTTGAAAACCAATGACAAATCACTACTGACAGTGTATTTGCCACATAATAAACCAATTTTCGTCGGTCGTTCTCCAGAGACAAATATTACAGATACACAATGTTCTAGATTACAAGGTTAAGATTTTTATAAATTTATTATATTACATAATTTATATAAAGTTGATAATTATTATAATTATTATTTAATTTATAATATTCATTGGGTATTATATTCTTTATAGTACAAGTGTGTGCAGATTATCAAAAATATAATGTTTATATTCAACAAAATGGAAAAAGATCTTCTGGCTTTAATGGTTTTAAAATGCGTAAAGACATCAAATTTATAGGCAAACATGAGGATTATTTAGAAATATTATATGGAAAGCATATTTATCAGATTGAATTTAATCCTCCACCTCCAAAAATTTCTTTGATAGAGAAAAGAATCAGAGATTCAGAGACAGGTGATGAATATAGAGAAAATTCTTGTAAAATAGCTAAAGTTGAAAATGATGAAACAGATACTATTGCTACATGCGAAGAAATTCATGAGGAAAAAGAAGCAAAAAGAAAAGAAAAACAGATAAAAAATGCTCATGGTATTTTAAAATTCATAAACAAAATGTCTCCAGATACATTTGAAGATACAGATGATGTAATAGACACTGAACAGGATATGTGGGAATGTAAGCAAACTGGATTATTAATATATACAGCAAAGGGTGTAGAAAATCGCTCAATGGTAAATAAACAAAATATATATTTAAAATATATATTTTCAAAAGTGAATGGAATCTTGTTTTTAGATAGCAGCATATGATTTGGATGGAACTTTAATAAAAACAAAATCCGGTTTGGTATTTCCAAAAGATTATGATGATTGGCAAATCATATATGCTAATGTGCCAGCCAAATTAAAAAAGCTCTATAAAGATGGATATAAAATAGTTGTTTTCACTAATCAAGCATCTTTTACATCTGGAAAATTAAATCCTGATTCTTTCAAGAATAAACTTAAAAATATAATACAAAAAATTGGTGTTCCAATGCAGGTATACTTTTTTTATATAATCTATAATAAATAGAATGAATATAAATTATATATATATATATATATATATATATATATAATGGATCTTATGTATTTATAGATATTTATAGCTACTGGATATAATATCTATAGAAAACCAGCAATTGGAATGTGGCAAGAACTAGAAAAAGTAAGATTCATTTGATAAAATAATTATTTTTATCGTCGAAATTTATTAAATTTAAATTAAATTTTTTTACAGAAAAATAGCCCTATATCTATCGATAAAGATAAATCTTTTTATGTTGGAGATACTGCCGGACGAGCGAAAAATTGGGCTCCCGGAAGAAAAAAAGATCATTCGTCAGTCGATCGATTATTAGCTCTCAATTTGAATTTAAAATTCTATACGCCAGAAGAATATTTTCTCGATTTCGAACCAATTCCTTATGAATTACCTATATTTAATCCAAAAAATTTATCGAATAAAGAGATATGCTCAGGAAGCAATATAACTTCAAATGATCAAGAAGTAAATAATATTATTTTCGCTATTGGGGATATTTATATTATAATTATAAATAATGCTAGTATTAATTACTAAATTTATATTTTTAGATTATTTTAATGGTTGGTTGTCCAGGTTCTGGAAAATCATATTTTGTAAAAAATTATTTGGATCATTATGGATATGTTAATAGAGATACTCTTGGAAGCTGGAAAAAATGTATTACTATAATGGAAAAACATCTGGATGAAAAATATAGTGTAGTTATAGATAATACCAATCCCGATTGTGTATCGAGACAAAGATATATCGAAATAGCGAAAAAATATAACGTTCCTGTAAGATGTTTTGTTATGACGACAAGTATCGATCATGCGAAGCACAACAATAAGGTAAAAATAATTTAATTTGATGTAATGTAACAACATTTACAATACAAACTTTAAGCTAAATATTTTGTTTCAGTTTCGAGAATTAACTGATCCTAGTCACGCGAAAGTTAATGATA